GACTCCCCAAGTGCATGGATTTCATGCACTGGGCCTCCAGTATGTATATAATTGACCAAGATTATCTGGAAAAGAGCTCACTTTCAATTGTATTAATCAGAGAAACTCCCCCTCTTCCCCCGCCCCCCCCACTTTGCTAATGCTAACACAATGCTTACCACTAAGAGGCATTTAATGAACACTTGCTGGTGAGCTGACTGATAACAGAACCCTGACTGTAAAGGAGCCTTATAAGTAATTAAGACATAAGTCAGAATCAAAAACAAAATTTCAATCTCTAGATTACTATCCCATCTCTCAAAGCACTAAATTAAATCAATGTGAACTGTAAGAAAAGGATCTACACTTTAATTCTAAAGTTTTACTGACTAATCATCTTGCACATAAATGATTAATTACAATTCATGTTTGTATTAATCATTGTTGTCCACCTTACAACATTTATTTACTTTATGTAACAATGACATATAAACTCATTGTTATTCTTCCAAGAAATAAAAATTAACATTGTGCATTAGTTATTTTCTAAATTGTTTGCAACTTTTATTTTTTCAGCATATACTTGTACTAAAAACTGACCAATATCAAGAATCATGCAAAACAAAATATAGAGAAAAATTAAAGCCACATTTTCCTAGAAATTTATTTAGAAAGCACATTGAACTGAGAGCTAGGAGAACTGAATTTAAATCTGACCTGTGCAATTGCTAAGGATAAAAGTCACTTACACTTTTTTTGTAAATGGCAGTAATCAGATTCTTCTAGCTCTCAAATTCAATAATTAATTATCTAGTTAGCCATTTCCTCCACATATAATTATATCCTGTGGCACTGTGCTAACGTTATATGGAGAACTAAAGCATGTACCCTAATGCCCATGCAGATGAGTGGCATGCAATTAATGCATTAGTGTGTCATGATCAAAGCAGGTGGGGCATCAGAGGATGGAGCAGTACCTGCTAATTCTCAAGGCTTTCATGAGAGAGGTGGCTTCTAACTGTACCTGGAAGCACAATTAACAGGGAAAATAAATTAGAAGCAAGAGGGGACCGGCCAGGTTTAGAAAAGAGGAAACTGGCCATTTCTGGTAGAATTGTGGGACTTCTGGAAACAGAAATAATATATGCGACCAAAGGAAGTTCAGGGACTGCAACTTTTATTAGGGAGATAGGGCTAAGGTAATGGTGGCCGTTGAAAGTGTATTTTTAAAAAAATAAAACTATTATATTTTTGAAATATACTCACAACAATTTATATGATGACTAGAGGCCCAGTGCACAAAATTTGTGCACGGGGGGGGGGGTGTCCCCCCTCAGCCCAGCCTTCACACTTTCCAATCCGGGACATCCCTCTCACAATCCTGGACTGCTGGCTCCTAATCGCTCACCCGCCTGCCTGTCTGGTAGCCCCTAACTGCTTCCTTTTCCGGCCTGGTCACCCCTAAGTGCCCCCCGCTGCCAGCCAGGTTGCCCCCAACTGCCCCCCCCGGCCTGTTCGTCCCTCATGGCCCCCCTGCCAGCCTGGTCACCCCACACAGCCTGCGTTTGGTCGTTCCTCACTAACCCAGCTGCTGGCCTGTCACCCCTCGCAGCCTGCTTGTTCAGTCGTTTGGTCGTCCCTCTCTAACCCCCCTGCTGGCCTGGTTGTAGGCAGCCATCTTGAGGGTGTGATGGTCAATTTGCATATTACCTCTTTATTATATAGGATGCCTTAAATATTATATTAAAGTTGAGAGAAATTGAAGATAGGGGACCAGTTAAACTATTGCTTTAAGCTATAGTTTTTAGTAGTTATTGCTATAGTACTGGAAAGCAAGTACTATTGATTTGTTTTTATTAAGGAGTCCAAATATATTCTTTCTTTATTAATAAGTTCCACAATTGATCCTTCTGTAAAATTAGATTTTCCCGGAAGATGATGACATTTTAGGTTGTAGACATGTCTGTTTTCAGGTTTTATTTCCTGTCTTTCATTTCTGTTATCTTCTCATTAATCAATTTTTTTCTTTCAAAAATAATTGATTTTCTTATTAGTTTGGAACTTTGACAACCAGAATTTACTCTCTTTGCTAAGTCAATTCTTCTTTTTTTCTGTGCTCTTTAATTGCATTTTGGTAAACCTTTTATCTCCTATTCTGACAATGAGGGAGTGAGCTGGAAGAGTTTACAATAGTTGTTTTGACTTGAAAGAAGATCCAAAATGTTGGATATTTTTTTTTCTGGGGAGAGATATTCTTCATTTTTCATATTTTGGTAATTGGTGTGTTTCTTTTTAATTCCCATCAAAAACAGTCTGTGGAGTAGTCTCATGTTCATACCTTTCACTCCTGCCTTCACTGTACTTTATACAGTAGTTTCCTTTTATAAAAGAAAAGGATAATGCACACACAATTAATTTCACGTGTGTGTGTGTGTCTCATTAAAACAGTGCCTGGCGTGCACATGTTAGTTGTGATGATAATCATGATCATGATCATGCTGACTTTGTACTTTAGCTATACTTTCAATTTTTATAGATATTTTACAACAGTTTTATAGTCATTTGGACTCCTAGAGTTTGTTTTTATAATAAAACATTTGTAAATATAAGTTGTATAATTTGTAGCCCCATTATTACTAATTCTATCCTACCTGGGATATATGGATGGGTGCCAGATTTCAACATTCTATATTAAAATGTTTTAGGCTTCACTGTATTGGATATATTCTCTTAAAAATTTGTGGCTTGATATTTCATTGTTATTATTTCCTCCTTTCATTTAGTATGAATATTTTCTTGCCTGTTTTTCTTTATTTTTTTCTATGGGATTCAATGGAAGCTTTCTCTCTCAAATTTACCTAAAAAAAAAGTCATATTTGGTTTTGTAGAAGCATTCTTTTGTTGGCAGTGCAAAATATCATTTATTGATGTAAACCCAAAGAGGAAGTTTAGAAGGAATATAATTATAACAATTAAGGGAAGAAATCATGACAATTCGAACTAGACAGTGGCAGTGAGTATATAAGCAAAAGAAACTGTAGGAGAAGTTGTTATAGTGTTAAATAAAACTGAAGCGATACAGAACTTATTATAGTGTTAAACAAAACTTGTAGTGTTAAACATAACTGGATTGGATCTGTGGATGATGAAGAGGCTATGGTTTGCATGATTTTTTGGATGAGTGATATTTGCAACCAATTTGAAAATATACAGAACGGTGAGGATGTCAGTAATGTAGAAAAGAAAAGGAAGTGAGTTCTGTTTAAGTCATGCAGACTCTGAGATTTTTGTACAATATCTAAATAGAGGTTTCTCGTAAGTCTTTTTTCGGCCTTTGAAGGGAAATCTGTCTTGGAAGATATGCATTTTGTCAAAATACTTCTAGTGGTGAAAGCAATAGTTGCAGATAAAATTACAGAGTTATAAAAAGACCAAATGCATAGCAAATAGAATAATACACATATTGACAAGCCTATTAACTAAGACAAGTTTTGTGCCAATGAGAGGGAACCAAACTTCCCAACAGTCAGTTATTTGTAGTCCCCAAAATGTATTATTACATTTCTTACATTTCTGCTCAACAATCAGTTCTTAGAATTCTCAAAAATTCTAGAAGTAATATGGAGCAAGATATAAAGGGCCTGGCCTCTGGCATCAGATTGAGGTGGATATCTTGAGTCTACATCAAGCCAGCTCTATGACCTAGGATATTCTTAGGTTTGTTTGTTTGTTTGTTTGTTTGTTTGTTTGTTTGTTTTAGTCTACTTCCTCATGAGATAAAATGGGGATGAAAATTTTCATCTCATAGCGTTGCCAGGAGGCTTAAGTGAATCTACTAGTACTTATAAACCATTCAGCAGATTTTGGCATATAGTAGATATTTAAAACTTCTTTCTCTTATATTTTCCTTACTTCTACCACCTGGTCTTTATTCATGTCCACTGCATGGAATGCTGTACTACACCTCTTTCTGCTGTTGTAAGTCCCAGGCCAGGTTTAATTGCCACACCCTTTCTCCAAGGATTATTTACTTCTTGTGACATTAATTCCCCCATCCCCTGTTAGCTTCTTCAGTTCTTATTATTATCTTTATTGTTGTTCTTTTCATTTTTTGCTTCTCTGATGCCATTTGTGTAACTTTCCATAAAGGTTCTATTAATCTTTATACTCCACATACTTCTTAGCCAATGCCTATGTGTTTACATAATAAGGACTGAATATGTATTTGTTGAATTAGTAGTTGAATGACTCCACTAAATAAATAAAACAAATCTGAATCCTCAGATTAGATTGTGAACACATACTTTTTAATATTATACAAAGTGGATAAAAGGTTAATATCACAGATGGGCCTACTCTTGAGGTTTTACATGCATATTTAAGGGAAAATGTATCGCCTCTTCCTCACAATTTGGGCCAGGGCACTGTGTATTATGTGGGATATAGAAACATGGACGGTAGCCTTAGCTCAGAATTGATCTTTACTTGTCCCCAGCTAAATTGTGGGCACCTTGTACCCTGATCAGGGAGTCTATCCAAGGCAAAAAGTTTCAAATTCTGCAATAAAATGAGGCCTCAAACAGCCTAGGAGGTTAAATAGTGTTTCCCCAGACTACCGTTGCTTTGATGGCCCTAATGCTTATTCTTCTAGATAATGATTTGGAGCAAATGAAGCCACTTACAACAATCTTTGTAAAATTAAACATGTTTTATATAGAATACCAACCATTCTAATCCATTGCTAAGTGCAAAGAGATTCCATCAAACCAGTGTGTGCACAAGCTATATCTCTCCCTTCCTTCAGCAAACTAATGAGTATAATTCCCATCTCAATGAAATGAAAAAAAAAATAAAGGTTTCTGAATATTATTTCTTAAAGAGAAATGGCTTCTATATAGTTCAATGGAGAGAAATCATTGACTGGTAACTATAGCAGGCAGTAGCCAGATCACCATGTGTTAAGTCTATGCTCACATAGGACCTCAGATTAACACCCAATGTCTTGCTTTGTTACCTTGCAGAAATGCTGGAATCCAACAATGTGATCACTTTCAACGGCTTGGCCAACAGCTCCAGTTACCATACCTTCCTTTTGGATGAGGAACGGAGCAGGCTGTATGTTGGAGCAAAGGATCACATATTTTCATTCAACCTGGTTAATATCAAGGATTTTCAAAAGGTATCTTTATTCTAATATATGCACTGTGGTACTTTTAAAACATCTCAAGGATTCTCTAGCTATATAACAGTGTGACAACTGAAAATTTGTTTGAATTAATACTTTATCTTTTCAGATGCAAACAAAAATAATACATTGATTTAACCATCACAAATCAATGGCTGCAGTAAACCATAAAAATCTTCAAGAAAGAAACTATAGTTGTTGGTTTTTAAATGATATATTTATATCATTTTCCTGCATAAAATAAAATAAATACCTGAACCATTATAGAAATATGTTATAATTTAATTCATGTATATATGTATATATGTATATGCTATGTGTATATAAATATAAATGTCTACATTTCTATATTGCCAGCAAATACATAGTTCATCAATCACTGTACACATGCTTAATCTCGTGTGTCAACTGTGCTTGTAAATAAAATTTATTGGAAAACAGACACTCATTCATTTACATATTGTCTATGTCTGTTTTTATTCTACAGTGGCAGATTTGAGTAATTGTGATAGAGATCATCTGGCTAACAAAGCCTAAAATATTTATTATCTGGCCTTTTAAATAAAATGTTTGCTAAATCCTCATCTGGAAGATCAATTTTCGGTGTCAGACTTTTGCATATGGGGTCACTTAGGCACTATCTATTTATCAGTTTTATCCTAATCCTTTCTAGTGTTTCCAGCTTATTTAATTAATAGGTTATACAGTTTTAAAAATAAACATTGACTGAAAATTTTGTGGAAATTGTGCTACTGGGTCTAAATGCTATATCCTATGTCAAACATTTTCCCTCACTCAGTATTTCTGGTCTTAATTCTTTGACCTTTATGTTTATACATCTTATCTCTAACATCATCTTATAATTTCCTCAAGAATTATGACACTATATTATTCCCTATAGACTTTATGACAATAGTATATGCTTAGGAAATAAGTTGTTGAAGAACATTAAAAATAGGGTCAAAAGAGCTTAATAGATAAATATATTCAAACAGATGTAAATCCTTAAGTAAATTGTATTTACTTTTATAGGCAGTGTGACATAATTAAAGTTAAATAATATGTTTGAAGTGGGATGTTTTAAAATTAGAATTATGTTTTCTATTACTAGAATAATAATTTTAAACTCAAGAATAGGAGATATAACATTATGACACTGTGCAAGTCACCTAACTTTAATTCATTATTTCATTATAGCAGGGTTGGCAACTGTAGGTTTACAGTTGTTCATATGAAAAATAATACAATAATTAATAAATAATAATATAAGAATGAACTGTGTTTAGTGTAATCACAACTGTAAACCTACCTTTGCCCACCCCTATTTATTACAAGTCTCATTGTTAGAAGAGACACCAAGATATATCCTGGGCATATGGCTCTACTATTTTTCTCATCTATAAAATAATAGGCTATCTTCTAAGATAATTCAGTTCTTTTCAATTTTAAAACTAACTGAATATATAAACCAAGTTAAGACTACTCAGAAAAAAAGTAAATACATTAAATATATATTCTAATATATATTAGACTATGAATATATATATTCATAGTCTAAACTGAAAGGTTCCTGCCACATAATGCTTCATGGAACCCCCTTTATCTCAGTTGCCCCAACTTGGTCTGACAGACTATAATGCCGGTACAGTAATATGTACTCATATTGTCTAGATATATATTCACTCACATATTTATATTTATATATGAATTTTATAAAATGATAAAACATTATAAACACCCAATATTTGAACTGATATAATCTCCTATTATTAAAATATCAAAAATTAAATTGTTGTGCCCCAATACAGATAGGTGTCATTGGATTTGCTAAGGGAAACTAAAAGATTATATTAGAATTTAGATGAGGGTAAATGCTTTAATGTGATTGAGGGGAAAGGTATCTACAGTCCTCTAAGCCGCCAGGAACACCTTGGTTATCTACCACTGTCACAGTATTCATGAAATATAGGAACTTTAGAAAGGATGAAGACCAAATATTAGGCATGAAAACACAAACAATTATTTCTTAGTCTGTTTTGCTTACAGTAAAAAGAGTGACTATTTTTAGAGCTATCTAGCTTCATATCCCCCTTTATCTCCTGAAAGTAAAATAAAGCTACTCTTAGCTATTAAAAAATATACCTTTCTAAGATAGGTTTTTCTAATCCTATCAGCTATTTGTTCTAGCATGTCATGCTGAGATTTGGATTAGGGAAATGGATCCAGAGCAATCAATCTCTTCACTAGATTCTCACCTCCTCTCAAGATGATCTATCTCTCCCCAGCCTGCCTTGGAGTTCTTTCCACTACACATTGATTAGCTCTACAGGCATACCTGGGAGATACGGCAGGTTTGGCTCGAGGCTTCTGCAATAAAAGAGGTGTCCCAATAAAATGGGCCAAAATCTTTTTGATGGTGGAGGGTCTTATCTTTAATTTGTAAAAAAACACAACATATGTGAAGCATGATAAAGCAAAGCACAAGAAAACAAGGCATGCCTGTACTGACTACATGAATGTCTGTGTTGCTCAGCTCTCATATACAGCAAAGCCACCTGGGTACATGAATCATGAGTGATTTAAGCTAATACCAATGAACTGAAGCCACTGCATAGTCTAAACTGAAAGGTTCCTGCCACAAAATGCTTTATGGAACTCTCTTTATCTCAGTTGCCCCAACTTGGTCTGACAGACTATAATGCCGGATCTAGTCTTAATAGAACTTAATTGGCATAAAATAATGTTTCTTCTCTGCCCTTAGATTGTGTGGCCCGTATCTTACACCAGAAGGGATGAGTGCAAGTGGGCTGGAAAAGATATTCTGGTGAGTATCCATCTATTAAATAATTTTAGTAATTGCATATTGTAATTTATCACTTGATAATCATTCTTACTGTGTTATCTTAACACCATTCTTTATTTGTGGATTTAAATACTCTTTAGAAACAAAATATTAGTTAATTTTGTATATTTATATTATTATGTAAAGTATTGACAGTGTTATATAAAGTAAGTAAAATACCAACAAGCCTAAATAAAGCAAAACTATGTTCCCTTTGATTACTTATACATATGCAAAAGATAACAAAATGCAGTTTTGTAGCACATGTATTTATTAAGACAATTCTTTGTACAGATTGGCTTTAATATGTTAATTTTTCTTGAATTCCTTTTGAATTATATGAAATATTTTTGCCTCTGAGTCATCATAATTAAACTACCCCTCTTGTCTTCTTTTTATTCCTTTCTTTTTCCCTTCCTTCTTTTTTTTATTTTTTACTTTCCCCATTGTCCTTCCTTCTTCTTTTTCTTCCTTCCTTTAAACATTCCTTCCCTCCTTCCTTGCTTCCTTTTTTTTTCTTATATGTTGATATTCCCAATTATTCATTGTACTTGAGCAAGTATCTTAATTTTTTTTTTCTATTCAAATGTTTTGGAGCATTTTGAATATTATCCTAGAAGCAAAGATCAAAATTTCTGTGCCTCTGATAAAGATTTTGGAGTCCTGTGGCATATATGCATTTTAATTTGCCTATTAACACACAGATAAACAATAGGGATTTGAAAAAAATACCTTATCTACTCTGGTGTTATCATGATATCTAGCTCACAGAATTCCTTTAGAACTCAAACAATCACAAGTAAAATTATGACATAGACTATAATGCACAATACAAATATTAACTATTATTGTTGTTATTATTTGTATATGTTGCTTAGACAATATCTAAGTGAAATTAGTTTGGTCCTGCCCCTCCCCCCGCAACTCTGCTATCCATACTGTATAATAAGAGATTCTGGTGTGAGCCCAGATGCAGTTAATTCAGCAGCTGCAATATAGTCATGATCCTCCAAGTAGTGTATGGGTAGCCCTGATCATGACCGCAGAGGTTTCCTCTCTAAGAAGGGTAAGTTTATTATATTTTCCTGGCTTACTGAAAATGCTTATGGGTTTCATAAAACTAAATTAAAAGGAACTAAGACATCATTTTATAGTACCTTGTAATCAAGATTCTAAAAACTTATAAATCATGTTTCATATGTTATGGTAAAGATAGGTAGTTATGTGTCTATTGAGAGATGTAAACTTTTAAAAGTTCAATGTTATGGCAATATTAACCAAACCAATCTTTGCAAAATCAACTAATTAATGTAATGTGATAGAATCTTTGTCTTTGTTATTCCTTTATGTTATGCATTAAATCAATTTAAATGTTGTGGATTTTAAGTTATCTTTTATAACACTTATCTAATAAAAGGAAAACCTAATAGTTCTTAGATATTTTAGTTTAAGAAAAAAATGCATTTTTCCTTTTGTTCTAAACACCAAACACAAAAATATATTTACACAGTAAAATGTATTTTATACTATTTTTCTAGTAACCCATTTCTTTACTATTACTTTTTACTGACCTATTATTCAAAATATATTTTATGCACTTATAATTTATTTTATTAAAGTTTATTTTACTTTTTAAATAACCTCATTTATGCACTTCAATTTATATCTCTATTTCATTTAAATCAGATATATGGCATTGATTGATTATTTTTGCATTATTTAGATACAGACCAATTTTTTTTTCATTTCTTTCTAATGTAATTTTAGAATAGCAATTAGTTGACTCCCTGGGATTTGTAACATTTCTTCCTTGATAAACATTTCTAAATAAATAGCATACTTATTTTTACCAATAATTTCTGAAATTATCACTTGGGAATAAAGATGAAAGGTAAAGAGTTTTTTTATAATTTTCATTCAACACCTGATTTTTGAAGTGATACATGGACAGTTTGATGGAAATTCTGCACTCTTGAGGAAATAATCGTCAGCTGTGACTTATGGACAGTGATTCCTTTCAAAGAGCTCTTGTGATGCTGAAAACCACAAGAATGAGGCTTGAGTGGTTTTTGCAGCCATGGGGACTCCAAGATAGAATTGTAACCAAAATAGGAACTGAGCTGAGCATTTATAGAAAAGTAAACTAATGACCTCCCTGAGCGCTCTCTTTGGTTTCTGGAACCTGAGTTTACCCTTTCTCTTTGGGCTTCAGTGTTCTCTCAGAAAGCCCTCCGGAAAGAAGGCTCCTTTAAACAAACAGTCCTGGGGGAAGTGCTCTCCTCTCAGTATTAGATTCAGATGCAGGGATTCAATAGGAAAAAACAGCAAAAAAAAAGCGGGGCAAAGACACTGGCTAATGTTATGTACCTTGAGCGTGGGTGAAGATTGTGTCGCTGAGTGTAATATCATACAGAAAACTGAACCCTTTCTCCGTTCTCCCAGGCATCTGGGAAGATACAAACCATCATTTCTCATGGCTCAGTTTTGCATCAAACACATATGTTAAGTCAGCAACTGGAATTTGAGCAGCTATTCCACAAAGATGGACTTTGTGGTAAAGAGGGAATCTGCAGCCTAAGACACAGTTACTTATATTCCTGCTCTGTGTCTGTCTGTCTCTCTCTCTCTCTCTCTCTCTCTCTCTCTCTCTCGAGCACGCATACATGTGTCTGAGGCTGCTGATTTTTTTCCTCTTGTAGAAGTGAATATACAGGATATATACCAATATGCCTTCTTTTCTTGGTGTTGTAGGATATGCCTTCTTTTCTTGGTGTTGTAGGTTCTAAACCTTTGTTGTGGTTTTTTTATATTACAGGAGTGAACTGCTCATGAACTTTTCCATTGTTGTTACTTGAGAGTTGTAATTTGAAAAAAAAGTTATATAATATATTATATTATTGAACAGAGACCCTAAAAAAGGAAATAAATGCAATCCGCATATGTCCATTCTGACTGCTATTATCCACTTTACTTTCATTTTTTATATAGCCCTGATGCTTAAAATCCACTTTGTTATTCACAATAACATTTCTATTGGGGGATTAACTTCCTTGACCCTGTTTTGCAAGTGAAAACTGAATACATGCTAAACTGGTAAAAGAATCTGTTTCGAATCACTTGCTCTCTGACTCTTCTTTGTTTATCCTATTAAATCATCTCTTTTTGCACTGTTGCCATAAAACCAAATGGCAACCGTATGACTGTTAGAAATATTTTGAATATCATTGGAAATCAAAATATCAACCATCTGAGATGAACAAAAAAAAATCAGATTCTCATAACATTCCTATTGTTGGATACATTTCAAAGTGTAATATTTCATGCACCTGAATTCTGGTACATTTTTGAAATTCTTGAGGGATTTATTTTTATAATTTTGTCCTTAGTTGTTATTATTCACTTTTGATGCTATCATAGATGATAACGTTTTGTCAAATTATTCTGGCTCAAATTGCAGGACCTTAGCAACACTAATTTCTGCCACATGAATGCAATTGAGAGGATGATGCTACCCAAGCATCTTAAGTTGCAGTGCAGCCCAAAATGCATGTTAGTCCTTGAATTTCATTTACTTTTCCAAAGGTCAAAATTGACAACAAGTTTAATATTTTTAATTTATTTTAGAAACTTCAAGGAATTATAGAAATGGATAGTTAGAATAACCTCCTCATTCTACAAAAGTCAATCATAACATTTCATTAAATCTCTAAATCCTATGTATAATTATTGGGAGAAAAATTTTCATGGGTCTCTCACACTTCTGCACACCTGATGAGAAAAAAGTACTAACTGCCTATTTTGTAGACTATATTTAGGGATATTTGTAGTGAAGAGATTTGGAAGGCACTGCCTCTCTGTGAAGCAAAAGGCTGGTTTGCAAACAGCTTTAAGAAGTAGAGATAGGGACTCCATTGGCACAAAAAACAGGTTTGCTTACTGTCCAGTAAAATGAACATAATGCCTCCCTCAAGTTCCAGTATACTTTACTATTATGAAATATTCAGATTCCCTCCACCTAGGGTTTTCCCCCTGTAATACAATAAATGCCAGTGTCACCTGGCTCTTTTCTCACTGCCCAGAGGGAATTGGAGCTTGAGGAACTGGCATAAGAAATGCTGATACTCTGAGTACTGCTATTACTGCAATAAAGTCTTTTATCTCTGACCCAGGAGACATATATCTTCTGCCAGCATCCATGAAACTGTGCCAGGGTAACTTATTTTACAAGTAAGACAAAAATCACAGACCCTTCACAGTTCTTGACCGTTTTTTTGTGGACAATCAAGATGATCTCACAAATGAAAGACTATAGTCAGTTTATTCATTTTTTAAATATATATTGTTGTGTTTTTTACAGAGAGGAAGGGAGAGAGGTAGATAGTTAGAAACATCGATGAGAGAGAAACATCTATTAGCTGCCTCCTGCACACTCCCTACTGGAGATGTGACTGCAACCAAGGTACATGCCCTTGACCGGAATCGAACCTGGGACCCTGGCTTCCCCAGGCTCTATCCACTGAGCCAAACTAGTTAGGGCAGTTTATTCATTCTTAAACATGATTCCCATGATGAAATTTGATGACACTTCACAGGTAGAGATAATTTTTTTTTAATGAAGGCCAGTGAATACCTTATTTATTAAATATCAGAGAAATAAGCACAGATTTTCATGTGCACCAAGATGTGAGTATATTGCTGCTTGGGGGTAAATTTCAGGTAAATTAAATAGGATTATAGTTTTAATTTGACATTCAAAAGTGGTAGTAGTAATAATAGCTAACACTTATTGAAAACTTGTTAAATATACTTGGTGTTGTTCTTAATTAATTGCTTTTATTAGCATATGTATGTAGCTCATATTTGGATATGAAATACATATTTCAAAGCAATTGGATGAACTAGTTTTATATCTTAGGTAAGAGACATATATGAGAAATGAAGCTTTACCATTAAAATTACCTTAGAAACTAGGTTTTATTCTT